GTGGGGGGGGCGGAAGAAAAAGAGCAAATTCTTTTGCTGAAGTTAGGCCTGGTTTGACAATGGTTGAAATAGAGCTACTTAAAAGGAACTATTCAAAAAGGTAGGCCTATAAAATAAAACCAACCTGTGCCAAACACTGCTGTAGAAGTGGAGGGCCTCTCTATTTGAGAGCTCTGTACAACTTCTACAATGGTAGGGGATGGCTCCTGATTAGCAGGCTCAATCTGAGGATGACTTTGCTGAGTGGGCTGCACAAAAGCAGTTGCTTGCGTCTGCTGCTGAACAGTCAAGATGGGCTGAGAGAGAGATGTCTGAACATTAGGACTGGTGGAACGCACAGACCCACTAGTGCTTCCAAAGACGGGAACATGCTCCACAGGTCCTTCTGATTGCATAGCTGAAAGGCAAACAGTAGCACATTCAACTATCTTTGTATTAACTAGTACAGTTCAAATTCTCCATTTCAGAATGCCCTAAATAAACAGATTAAATGTTTTGCAGATTGACTTAACATTGCTTATACCTGTCTTCAGTTTAGGAATCATGAACTTTGTTGCAACAGAAGTGGTCATAAAAGTGCACTACTGAAAGAGATGCAGGGACAATAAAACTATTTGAGGTACTTTCAAACTAGTAATTACTGAGATTTCAAGGCAAAGGTAGCATTTATGATTACTATAGATCCTTATCCTATACTAAAACGCTTACCTTCCTGAGTCTCCACCTGTGTTGTAGGCATAACTGTTGCTGTTGGAGTAGTGGTAGGATTAGTGACTGTAGCAGGAGTAACCATTGGACGGATACTGGCTCTTGGAGTAGACTTATTTCCAGCTATTGCAGCAGCAGTCACTTTACTTGGAGTTGACACAACAGGAGTTGGTTTAATATTTGCTGTTGGTGGATCTGAAGTGCTAGCACTGAAAAACAGGATATTGGTTTCATCATGGTAGCACTGAAAGCAGATTTTAAAAATACCAAATATAAATATATTACTATAGCCAGAACTACTAATTTTTAAAGGTTTAAAATGTAAAAGCCTGACAAGGGCATAATGAATTGTCTTCCAAAATTTGGTTATAGTTAAAAAAGAAAAAAAGACGGACACACTATGCCATCAGTAGCATTTTGTCCAGCTTAGAGCTTTGACAGGTTTACTTCAGAGGTAATCAACTAGAAATCTGTAAAGCACATCAAAAGTAGTAGTGCATAGCTCATACTATTAGCTGTGCTGGGTGTTCATTGCAGTGAGTAATACATCTTACATTTAAATTACCTGATTCACTCAATACAGAGCAACATCATCTCTCAGTTGAGACAAGGATCAGCCAGATTTTAAGAGGTATTTTTGAAAGTCTTGCTTTCAAAAGGATGCTGTCATAAAAACTGAAAGGCTGAAAGGGAGTTTGTTATCTAAATGTAGTAAGACAGTAATATTTCCCATTTCAGAGCTTAGTCATTTGACTATTTTATCTGTTGTTAGAGTTACCATCTATTTAGTTCATTTCTCATGTTTGAGATTCTTGCATACGGAAGATCCCCCCTCAAAACCAAAAAAGTTAAAGGTAACAATCAAAACTGTACAACTTCAAGAATCTTGAAGTGTGTAAACATTTTTAAAAATATGTTTCCCAGATACCATGTTCCTGGTGGTTAATATGACAATTTAACAGCTTAAAAGCTTTATCGATTAAATGTGGCTGAGAAAACAGGAGGAACATATTAATGTCAATCAGTATCTTCAAAGTTGCTTAAGAAAAATTGCAAAAAGCCAGTGGTTTACTAAAAAAAAAAAAAAAAAAGAAGCAACTAGATAAAGACAAAATCAAGAAACACCAACCACAGAAACTCTGCAAAACCCCCGAACCCTTCAACTCACATTCCTCTTTCACCTGAAGCTGGAGCAGACTTGAGTGAGATTTGCCTCTGCTGTTCTGGGACCTATTAAGTAAGAAACAGAAATATCATGTCATGTACATACAAAACAGAGTAAGCAATTTGGTAAAATACTTCAGCAGACAGATCTCTTTACTATCATTTCTCTAACAGACTTGTTAGCTTACCTAGTCAGACTCCATGATTATTGCAAATTCTCCAAAACAAATCATACCAGTCATACCAAGTATGTAAACCAATTCAGTAATTTCTCAGGTATTTTCTGAAGCTATTGAGACAATAGCAGCTAGAACCCATTATACTGAATGCATAGATTAAAATATAAAAATAGACAGCAGAGTGCAAACAGTTCACTGGCCAATCACAGTGAATGATATAACTGTATACCTGTTAGAACTGGAAATTCTGACTACGGCAGGAAATAAGTTTAAATTAAGTTCTGAATCGTTACTAAAGCCAACCTCTGTATTTCCAAAACCAGGGGACAGGGGAACTTGAATAGCACACAGTTTCTTGGGCTCATTGACTTTTTTTAACTTTTTTTGTTGTTGTTGTTGGTTTTTTTTGTTTTTTTAAGTGTAGGATTCCTATGACAAGAATTTCCATCTGCTTTTTAGAACATTTAGGAAAAACACCTTCACATAAAGTAGTCCTGAATATCAACTACTGTATACACAAAACCAAACCAAGTTGGCCAACAGTACTTGCACTGACAGCTGTTGTTCTCATCAGTCATGAGACAGGCAAGCTTTTTATTTCCTCTCACACAGCTAGCTAAAAGGATTTTGTACCTTATTTGTAGACTCTGGTGGCTCATCTCGCTGTTCATGGTGTCGCTCTTGCTGCTCTCTAAGCTCTCTTTCCAGACGGCAGATTCGACCTTCATACTGTGATTTGAGTGCACTCATCCGCACCTCCAATTCAGTTTTCTGTTCTTCTAATGAACTGCTCTTTTGCTTCCACTCTTCATTTTCTTTTGTTAGCTGTTCTTTTGTACCTAATTGAATAGGAAAGAATTCAGTTTTGCCACTGTAAAGCTGCCTACTAAGTCTCTGCATGCTGAATACCTGTCTGTTTTAATAGGTTATTGAAGTATTTTGAAATCTTAAACACATTAAGCTATCAAAGTAGCTCTTGGAGGTAATTTTAACTTTCACATGCCATTTTTCTATTTGATTGCAATTAAAATAAACTAAAAATATAAATATATAATAAAAAT